TTAAAATTTAAGAAAAAAAGAAAAAGAATAATGCATAAAGAATAATGCATAAAAAAATGCTGTGTCAATTAAAGTGATAATACTCTGATATATTAAATCACATTGCATATCACATATCTGCTATATGAAAAGTATAATTAAGGTGACTTTACTGCCCAATGCCCCCTCACATCTATTTTATAGAATCTATACCTTTCAGTGGTCACCTCCAAAGAAGCCTCTGAAATTGGGGGGCTCAGAGGGGTGCTCATCCCAAAAGGAATCAGATTCCAGACTTAAATTTTTTTAGAACAAATAAGTAAATGATAGAAAAGGAATCACGGGAACACCCAGAACATGCATTTTTGTATATAATCTTAATTTGCAGATATTTTATGCAGTAAAGACATATACAGGATAGTTAATTAAATATGCAGGTATCTTTAAAAATTAAGCAAAGTTAAAAAATAAATAAATAAAATAATAATAATAATAATAAAAAATATATTTTACACCACAATATAAACAGCTTTGTTAAACAGATTTAAGTACAAGTACTTATGACAAGAAATATACAGAATACGTTTACAACAGGCAGGTTTAGCATAAATGCAAAGTTGTTGTTTTGGGGGATTTATTATTGCCCAAGAAATCTCTGAACATATTCAGAATTTTTGAGAGCAGCAAGCATAGACAGCAGATTGCAATGGACACCATTACAATATTGCTTTGCCGATTGATGTCAGAGCTTTAAAGAATAAATAAATAAATGTTCTATAGCTCACTAGACCACTGGCTTTTAATGAACAGTTTGCACAACACTTATAAATAGTTTATTATACTGCACATTATAGCTGTGACAACATGATATACAGTGTCAAAATGCTATGTCACTGTTTAATAGACTTACCCAGTATTTAAGGACGACATGTTTCTTGCAAAGTAATCTGGACTTTGAGGAAGGTTCTAACTATGTTTAATTAATTAACTTACAAAAAAAAAAAAGAAGTTTATTTTTCCCCTGCAAGTGAGTTTTCAGCGCAAGGTCATCTTGTGTTCACAGACTATTCGGTTTTAAAAAGCTGTTCTTTATCTCACATTATGAACAGCCTTGTAATTCCTATGCACACTAAAAGTTGGCTTTTAAATGTTATTGTTTTAACTTTAATATTTCATAGTTAATACGGAGAATAAAGTATATTGAAAGTATATTAATTGATAGGATTTCATTTATCTATTTTGGTCCACTGTTCACTGATCTCGAGTCTCAGTCTGGTGTTCAAACAGTTTTTCTTACGATACGTTGTGAGTTTATATCCACAACTGCATTTTGCTTTGTGGAAACAAATTGAAAGCCTGGCATTGTAATATGTGTATGGACATGCTTATAACAAAGCATGGTACCTCTCCTCATAGATGGTCATTAACAGGCACTTTGATGCAATGTGTCTACCAACGCTTTTCTGTGGTCACTGGATCACATCGCATACCCTATCTCTCTGTCATGATGCAGAGTTTATGCTTGCAAGGATATCCAGACCTTATCCACCTGGTATCCGCATAATTACTCCTATCGTTTACAGGGGTTAATTACATAATAACCATAATAACCAGGTTTACTTGGATATATCCTGTGCGAAGTGCAACCTCTGATGCCACGTTTTCTAGTCTCACTTCCGTAGTATGCATTTGATAATCCCAGGACCATCCATTTGGATGGTGGTCCTGCAGTTACTGCAAAGGAAACCTAAAACTGGGCAACCACATTTGGGTTACTTTGGGATTTCAGTGCCCCAACCACCCCCAAAGATGTGGGGTTGTGGTCTGGGAGAATGCTGAGGTTAAATGATTATTAACCAAGTTACTAGTTGCTTGCCCCACACAGTGGTATCTATTTATTCCTATGGTACAGATAAGATTCACAACATACCTGATGATACAAATGGTGAGACACCATATGAAATGTTACATGTTTTTCACTGACAAATATATTTCTGCACCAGGGAGAGCTTAGAACCATTGGTTCTATTAGAGAAATTTAGGGAATTTTTTTTTCCAGCCCATCTCGCCTTGCACCACCACCTATTTCCTTCTGTTGGCCCGCTTGTCCTGGAGAGGGTGACTCCGAGAACTTATACTACAGAGAACAATCAGAGCCAACAGAGAACAGTGAATTTGATATTTTACAACATGCTAAAATACTTCAAAGAACCACTGACTGACACAATGGATGCTGTTAAAGATGACAAGATAAAACAAACAGAGGACGACAGAAAAGCCACCAGAATCATAGCCACGTAACAGACTGAATCATGATCTGACATCTGAACCTGCAAATGTGAAGGAGAAGGATGAATAGACAGACGTGATACATTCACAGTTAACATGGAATGTACGAAAAATGAATCATCAACATCATTATAAGAAAGACTCTGGAGAAAACAGACTGAACCTGAATTATCTTATACAGTAAGAAAGAAATGCAAAGATGGAAGCAAAAGGATGCTGGAAAGTTGGTTATGGTGTCTCCTTCCTACAATCTGCAGCATTATCATAACATCAGGAAAGATGCTTATGAAAGTCTTTGGATGCACCTATGAAGGTGATTAAGAAAATACTTTGCCATATAGTTTATCATTGAGTGACTATCGCAAACAGCCTTCTTATGCTGAAAAGAAGTGCTATGCTAATTCTGGACATTGCTATTATGTTTCCAGACAGAAGATGACCGGGAAAAGAAATAAAGGCTGATAACTGTCAACACCCAGCTATTTCTTCAGATGGAACATGGTACTGACAAAACCTGATTGACTATCAAAGCACCTCACAGTACAAGACACAGATTGTTGCCTACAACTCAGAAAAAGTGGTTAATAGGAAGGAGAAGAAGAGGAAAATAGATTTCCTACTGGAGAGAAAAACCATCCTGGAACAATATTCTGCAACAATGAACTTTACAATGACATTTGGTGGCATATGAATTTGAATTTGAGAGAAACATCAATTAACGAAAGAAACCTTGATGCAATTAATAAATAATAACAAGACCGGCCTACTAAGAGCAGATGCCCTGCCAAGAGAATGGAATATAAAAAGACCAGCAAAATCTTTCAGAAACCTGACATCATGGGACACTTGTACTAAAGCATGATTTGCAGTTTTTCTTAAACTCTACATATTATGTACATACCTGCAAAGCAAGGAACTCCTGTAAACATAAACACAGAGACATTGATACAACAAGGAATCTGTAATAGTTCTGTTGCAGATGTGATCTACCGTCGTACTCCTTGCTCTTTTGGTATAACAATACCAATCAAAATGTTAAATGGCTCCATAGAATCAAACGACAAAGGATTCTTGCTATATTCTGGACTTCCAGGAATGTGGTGCATGGACCGAAAATTATAATTACTAAAGCAATCATGCTATTTTTTCCCTGTATCAGAAATGTGTCAGTGACAATGTGTAATATAATACAGATACTATAATGGTATAAGAAACACATAACACATAATGTGTTAATTACAAAGGTGGATAGACTTTGTGAATATCTGAAACGCAATTGAAGATTATTGCTAAAATGCCATATGCAGCTGGCCTACAAACAAATATATTAATCATACGTAGAAGAGTATAACAGCTAATTACCCAGATGAATAATTGAATCGTGATAGTTAAAGATCATATGATTGCAATAACAACTGCAATAATGAATAATGTTTTAACCTTAAAAGAAAATGTGAAATGTTTTTATTAAATCAGAAACTATTCGATATTCGTTTAAGTTTGCAGAGTGGTATAATTAATATAAGTGAAATACTTCAACAGTTAAAAACAGTTAAGACAGGCAGAAACTTTACTTCAACTATCATAAAGTTTATTTATAATGATAAAAAGGCCAGTCAATGGAAAGAAAGAGTATTATGGATTAACCCGTCCAGGTGATATACATGATGATTTTGGAAATTGATAAGTTAGGTCACCTATTGCAAACTTGTGAAAATATGTCAAAGATATAAATTCAACATCCATACCACTCTATGTATATATATATATATTAAAATACACGTAATCAAATATTTTATCAGTTTTTCAAATACAAAGAAAATGTTATTTGGTTTGTGATGGTTAAAGGTACATAAAACCACCTATACAAAGGTAGAGTTAAAATATAAATACATTCAATATTGTATCGGAGTGCTTTCTTAACTCACTTTTAGAAATAATAAAAAATCCAAATCATCTTAAGCTAACCCAACAGCCACTGAAAAATATACTTAACAATTAAGATTCTCATTGTTAAGCATCCAATCTCACAAACGTAACTTTCCACAATGGCTGTCAGATCTTGGTAAAAAAATTATAATTACTAAAGCAATCATGCTATTTTTTCCCTGTATCAGAAATGTGTCAGTGACAATGTGTAATATAATAGAGATACTATAATTAATGGTATAAGAAACACATAATGTGTTAATTACAAAGGTGGATAGACTTTGTGAATATCTGAAACACAATTGAAGATTATTGCTAAAATGCCATATGCAGCTGCCCTACAAACAAATATATTAGACATACGTATAAGAGCATAACAGCTAATTACCCAGATGAATAATTGAATCATGATAGTTAAAGATCATATGATTGCAATAACAACTGCAATAATGAATAAGGTTTAAACTTTAGAAGAAAATATAAAATGTTTTTATTAAAACAGAAACTACTCAATATTCGTTTAAGTTTGCAGAGTGGTATAATTAATATAAGTGAAATACTTCAACAGTTAAAAACAGTTAAGACAGGCAGAAACTTTACTTCAACTATCATAAAGTTTATTTATAATGATAAAAAGGCCAGTCAATGGAAAGAAAGAGTATTATGGATTAACCCGTCCAGGTGATATACATGATGATTTTGGAAATTGATAAGTTAGGTCACCTATTGCAAACTTGTGAAAAGATGTCAAAGATATAAATTCAACATCCATACCACTCTATGTATATATATTAAAATACACGTAATCAAATATTTTATCAGTTTTTCAAATACAAAGAAAATGTAATTTGGTTTGTAATGGTTAAAGGTACATAAACCACCTATACAAAGGTAGAGTTAAAATATAAATACATTCAATATTGTATCGGAGTGCTTTCTTAACTCACTTTTAGAAATAATAAAAAATCCAAATCATCTTAAGCTAACCCAACAGCCACTGAAAAATATACTTAACAATTAAGATTCTCATTGTTAAGCATCCAATCTCACAAACGTAACTTTCCACAATGGCTGTCAGATCTTGGTAAAAAAAAAAAAAAATGTTTTCTAAGACAATTTTTGGGTGTTTCTGGTATTTTAAGCCACTAATAACTGTAGTTATAATATTTACTAATAATAACTAGGGAATAAGTTGTCTTCTCCCTAACAGGTCAAAAGAAAGATAATTAACGTCATATTTCTAAATATATTGAGAGATTTTGAATAAAAAGAGTATTTTTAACATTTAAAGAGGATGTAATTTTACATACCATTGTGAACAAAGGTGGTAAATATTTTGCTGCTTCAAATTATCCTTATATATCTAAATCATATACAAGGGTGTTTATCTTTAAAACAAAACACTTGAAAGTTTAACTATGTTACTATTTCATCTATCATTATTATACAAACTATAACAAATGTAAAGATTTTTCCACAGATTTTACCTGTTAACATTTTTAGCACAACAGCACCTGATGTCAGTGAGATGTCTATCACTGAGATGTTACAAAGATTCCAATACAGCAAAAAGAGGCGTTCCTGAGAATCCACTTCGATTGCTGTATCAACATAACATTTACTATAACGGGATCCATGTCACTTAAGACAATGTCTTGGAAATTATGTCAATTAATTGATTCCGTAAAAGAATATCGGAGAGTATCCAATCTATACACATCATAAATGGTGTAAAAATGTTTCATGGAAAAAAATAAATAAAAAAAGACAAAGACAAATACCAACGCCATCACCACGGTGATAACAGATGATGCTGATTCAATATCTGCAACCAATTCTATCCCAATATTTGGAAAGCTGGACTCTACAACCTATACTCTACAACAAATACCCGGGTATTCTACAAACACAACCTCCAGCAATGTATCTAAGGAATGTAAACTTCTACAGGCCTTTAAAGACTTTGGATTACAAATACAATTACTATTTTAACTTTGGATTACAATTCGTATCCGGATCCATCCAAGAATATCTTCCTCTGGAACTTGGTGTTCTTTTCAATTCTTTCCCAGACAAAAGCTTTGCTCATTTTAATCAACCACCTTTACAGGCAAAGATCACACTACGGATATTCTACTGTTACAACAATGATCAAAGATGCTGGGAGCACAAAAACCTAAAGACTGTTGGAGAACATTGGTTTACTAATTTAAGGAAGAAATGCGCTACAATGCCCACAGTTTAATGGAGAGGGTGTTACGGGCAAATGCAAATATTACAAGTTTTAGAATGAAATGTTGTATTTCTTAAACTGTGTACTTTGTCTTTAAGAGATATTGCAAATTGACAAGGTGTTAGAAATGGAACATATTGTTTTTCATAGATGTTTCTTTAAGCAATAACCTCAGTGCATAATATGTTTGCACCATTTTGTCCCAGACGAATTACAATAACAATAATGCATAAACAAGTTTCAAGGCTATGCTACGACTCTTGCAGTACACAATATACTGTGGTAACCCCAAGTTAATGGAACTTCCCCAAATCCGGGAATCTCCCACTACTGTACACTTACGACTTAGTATAAACAACAGATAACCTATTCAGACTTTAAGATGCCATCTTGAACTAAGTCAGGAAAATTTCCATGACGTATACACCCTTTAGTTATGGCCTTGTATGTTTGCCAAATTAAGGGAGGTCCTAAATTGAATAAAGTAAAAGAAGTGTTACTTTTTCATATTTGAACTACAGTAACCTAAAATGGAGACACCTAAGGTATAAATAGGTGTACTTTTAAATGTTAAGACACAGAGGAGAGACTTGGAGACAGACGCTGCTCCATCTTAAAATGACAGAGAGGCTGACATGATGACATGTTCAGAAGGGTATGTTAACCTATTAATGATATTTGCAAGCATGTAATTTAATCTTATAAACTCTGCTATAATGGATTTTATATTTTTATATAATAAATATCCAAAAAGACAATCTTGCTTCCAAGACAATCCTTATTTTATATTGTATTCTCAATTATTTATATATGTTAAATAGAGGATCTCTTACACTATATAAAATTATGGTTAAGATATCTGTATGGTTAGCCCTACTAAGTTCTATGCTTTAAGACATTATAGTGGTAAATAAGGGAACCACACACGGTTACAGTATCAAATGCCTTCGCAAAATCCAAATAGATCACATCCACTGCAACACCCTGATCTATACTTCTACTTACTTCTTCGTAGAATGCAATTAGGTTAGTTTGACATGACCTATCTTTCATAAAACCATTGCTGATTATTGCTAATAACAAAGTTCTACCCAATGAATTCCTGAATATTATCCTTTAATAGCCCTTCAAATACCGTATTTATCGGCGTATAACACGCACTTTTTCTCCCTGAAAATAGGGGAGAAATTGTGGGTGCGTGTTATACGGCGGCCCTTTAAATACTGCAGCCGCCTGAGCGCTCTGTCAAGAGCGCTCAGGCGGCTGCAGTTGGTACTCACCTCTGTAGGAGCCGCCTGCTGTCCCAGATGGGGCCGGACGATAGAGACGCCAGTGTGCACCTTCCCAGTCCGACCTACAGGAAAAAGACGCGCGGAACAGGAGTTTCTGTTTCCTGTACCCGTCGGACTGACAGGAAGGTGCACACCGAGCACCTTCCTATCACCCGCCGCGCCACCGGGCAGCAGAGCCCGGCCACGCTACAGGGAGGGAGTGGGAGGCAGTGAAAGTAAGAAAAGGGGAGGGGGGTCAGAAGGGGAGTAAAGAAGAGGGGAGGGAGGGGGGCACGAGGGGAGGTAAGAAGAGGGGGGAGTAAGAGGGTAAGAGGGGAGGGAAGAAGAAGAGGGGAGGGGGGAGTAAGAAAGGGGGTAAGAAGAGGGGGAGGGGGAGTAAGAAGGGGGTAAGAGGGGGAGGGGGAAGTAAGAAGAGGGGGAGGGGGGGTAAGAAGAGGGGGAGGAGGAGTAAGAAAGGGGGGTAAGAAGTTCTTTATTTGAAATTTAAAGGACCACTCTAGGCACCCAGACCACTTCAGCTTAATGAAGTGGTCTGGGTGCCAGGTCCCTCTAGGATTAACCCTTTTTTTTATAAACATAGCAGTTTCAGAGAAACTGCTATGTTTATACTGAGGGTTAATCCAGCCTCCAGAGCCTCTAGTGGCTGTCTCATTGACAGCCGCTAGAGGCGCTTGCGTGCTTCTCACTGTGAAAATCACAGTGAGAGCACGCAAGCGTCCATAGGAAAGCATTGTAAATGCTTTCCTATGCGACCGGCTGAATGCGCGCGCGGCTCCTGCCGCGCGTGTGCATTCAGCCGATGAGCGAGCAAGGAGGAGAGGAGGAGTACAGCTCCCCGCCCGGCGCTGGAGAAAGGTAAGTGTTTAACCCCTTCCCTCTTCCAGAGCCCGGCGGGAGGGGGTCCCTGAGGGTAAACACGCACTCATTTAAGAAGGAAATTTCGGGGCGAAGGACATTTAGTGCCAGGAAAACATACTCGTTTTCCTGGCACTATAGTGGTCCTTTAAGTTTTTTTTCCCTGAAATTTCCTTCTTAAAATGAGGTGCGTGTTATACGCCGGTGCGTGTTATACGCCGATAAATACGGTATTTTCCCAGTTACAGAAGTTAAGCTCACAGGTCTATAATTTCCAGGCAAGGATTTTGAACCCTTTTTAAATATAGGAACAACATCTGCCTTCCTCCAATCCTCCGGTACAACACCTGAAACAAAAGAATCTTGAAAAATGAAATACAGAGGTTCACTTATTTCCCCACTTAGCTCCTTAAGTACTTGTGGGTGAATACCGTCAGGCCCCGGAGCTTTATTTACATTAATTTTCTTTAATAGCTGTAGCACCTTGTCTCGAGTTATCCAATCACAAGTTGCTTGCAAGTTTTTTGCAGCAATCATTTGCATATCTCTTGCCATAGGATCCTCATTAATATATACTGAAGAAAAATTATTTTAAATTTCTGCTTTTTCCTGGTCTTCATTAGCTAATAAACCCAACTCTGTTTCAAGTGTACCTACACTTTCATTTTTTGTTTTTTTAGAATTGATGTACTTGAAAAAAAATTTGGGGTTGGTTTTGCATTCTTTAGCTATCAATTTCTCATTTTCTAGTTTAGCCACTTTAATTGCCTTTTTGCAAGCGTTATTGGCTTCCTATTTTTAATCACTTGTTTTACTTCTCTACTAAGCCACATTGGTTTTAATTTGTTTCTTTTATATTTATTACCCAATGGTACATACTGAGAAATGTACCTTTCTAATATTTGGTTGAATATTTTCCATTTATCCTCAGTGTTTTTATCACTAAGGAGTTTATGCCAGTCGATATGTTGTAGAGCTGCCCTAATCTTATTTAAATTGGCTTTTTTTAAATTATATGTTTTAGTATACCCCACTTGCTTTTGCTTTTTACACATACACATACATACATCATTATTAAAAGTGTATTTTAATGTTAATATATATATATATATATATATATATATAAAATACACTTTTAATAATGATATATATATATTTAAATCAAAATACATTTAGAATGACGTTATAAATACATATATTTAAATTCTACAAATATTACCCCCATGATGGCACACCATTTGCAAAAGTAGACAACCCAAGGTACTGCAAATGGGGTATGTCCAGTGTTTTTAGTAGCCACTTAGTCACAAACACTGGTCAAAATTAGCATTCAAATTAGTTTTTTGCATTTTTTACACACAAACAAATATAAACGCTAACTTTGGCCAGTGTTTGTGACTAAGTGGCTACTAAAAAAGACTGGACATACCCCATTTGTAACAACTTTTGCAAATGATATGCTATCATGGGGGTAATTTTCATTCCTAGGCTACAATACGGTCTCAAAGGCAACATGACTAACATGACCAGTCTGGCAAATTTCAGTGTGTATAAACTGAAATATGTAATGTGCTGTACTTGACCCTATAAGTTTCCAAAACACTGTAAAACCTGTACATGGCAGGAGACATAGCTGAATACAAATGTGTACTCCATGCCAGTAACAGCTAACATTATTATGAAATTCACAATTAAAATGCCACGCAGAACTAAAAAAATTTTTAAATGTCTTAATTTCTCAAATTTTTTATATTTTTGTCATATTAAATTACGTTTAATATAAAAATATTAGATGTAA